TTATGAAAATTACCCGTGTATTATAATATAACATAATTAAAATTATTTATATACTTACACAAAAAAAAAAAAAAATTGTTTTTCATTTAATTATTTATTATTCGTATCGCATATGCCTACATGTTTTATTGTTTGAGTTGAAATGGTTTATATCCAATAAAAAACTTAGAGATCTATCGTTGTACTGTACAATAAGTTTCGAGTGTAGTACCACGACGGTTCGATGTCGAGAGAAATCACTATAATGAATGTGTTAAACTTGAATTTAAATCGTCTTTTTTTATTAAACTAGTGTTGTACTCATCGTGATTTATTATATAATTTGTATACAATTAATATGGTTGTGCTAATTCCGTTTAATGCCTTTAAAGGTCTTGCCGGGACTACGACGCGCGGATGTAAAACGATAGTAAAGTTTCCCAGTCGACTTCGAACGCGACATGTTCTTAGCGATTCGCTTTTATTTTTTCTGTAAATGTTCTTTCGTTTGATATAAAAATATAAGACACTAATTATTTTACGGATGATTTGAACTTAAAATGATCATACATATACAATTAATTTGGCTTTAAAGTAGAATTTTTTCATATGTAGTTTGAAAAACTAATAAAAAACATTGTGTTAATTTCTTAAATCTCAGATATAAAAACAAACATTTTTACAAACAGTTATTCATTTTATAGTTACATCAAAAAAATTAATTCAATTTTGTTAAAAATTGGATTTATGTAAAAATTCCGTTTGTTCTTAATTTTTTGTTTGTGTTTCCCAATTATAAAAGCAAGTATAGGGAGCTTTTAAATTTGACCTCTCTAAAGTACCAATAATTAAATTCAATTTGATATCTTAAACTACCCTTATTTTTGAAAATAGAAGCATTTTATCGACAACTTATCGTGTACCTACTTATTCACTTGATTCAATCGACATAATAATATTATATTATTATAAGTTATAATACTTCGTGGAGATTGAGAATAAAATATATCTGACAAGAAAATGATTAAAGGTGGTTTGTGTAATATGCTCTCAAGCGTCACATTACATGATTGTCAAATTACATTTAAAATTTTAAACTTTATTTATTAAAACCGATTTCTTAAATATTAATTTATACAGTATTTTTATTAAATCAATATGGTATTAAAACATTTAATTTAAAAACTAAAAAAACTTCACGATATTATACTATATTATAATCAAATTAAAAAATTTAAAAAAAAAACCAATGGCTTTATATCTATACAATATACATCCTTTAACGTTGTAACAATTAAATATATAATATTATGCATATTTATAATTTTAGAGTTAATTTTAAAACTGTGAGTTGTATAAAAAATTCATAATAATGTTTTCCTTTAATAATAAAAATCAAAAAAAAAAGTAATGAAATATTGTGAAATTAGTGTAAAAAATACCCATTTTTAACAAAATATTTATTTTTGTATACATAATTTAAAAAGTATACTTAATAAGCAATAATAAATTGTTTAAATATAATTTATATTTTTTTAATAGAATATGCACTTATATGAGATTTTGAATAATCTATTCTATTATAAATATATTGTATCGATGATAACAATAAATAGATAATATGATATATAGAATGAGAATCTTATTGACGCCATCATGATAAGAAACTTTCAAACTATAAGAAAAACTTTGTGTTGTTTAAACAGTAGTATCTAATTATTAAAAATGTGTCATCTACATATTTTGTACATTTTGTAAAAATACTTGTTTTTTTATAAAAAAAAAAAAAACTAGGCATTAACTATTACATCACAATACTGAGGTCAATATAATTTATTTATCATGATATATTTTATTTTACTACACGCTAAAAATTATTCGCACATTGCTCTCGCTTTTGCAATGTCGCATTTATCATATGTTTTGAATTTCCTAGCGGAAAATCTCTCCGTTTATAATATCTTCATCCGGAATTTGTTAATATTTACCAGAATAATGTTTAACCTTTACAGTATATCAATATATCGTAAACTAATTCACGCCGTTGCGAGTGTGTATATACTCGTATTCTACTATAATACTAATAATTTAAACTTTAGAACTTGAGTATTTAAATTTTCTGCAGTAGTATATTATTAAGTATTTTTTAAAATAACAAGCTATATCAAATTAAAACTATTCTTGTTGTGACATATTTCATTATTTACATCGCCATTCATGAACTGAGAATTGATGCAAATAAAAAGTTTTATGAATAAAATATAGTATTCTAACCCAGAAAATTATAACTGATTTTGAATTAATAATAATAAATAAATCAAAAATTACCAAATACAATCATAAAAATAGGTAGGTATTAGATGAGAATCATTATTACTACGTCAACAATTATTATTATTATTATTTATTACACAATATTATATTTTATTCGTATATTAAACGTATATAAGCATAACTATAAGGTCGAAATTCTAGGAGAAGGATTTATAGCCTCTAACAAATTTAAAAGTTTCACCGTTATAAATATAATATTGCAATATAGTATGTTTTTTACTCAAAAATTTTAAACTCAAAGACACGTAAGACAGTAAATTTAAATGCATTTAAATACATTTATTTATAAGTTTTTAAAGTAAATCTGATATTAATTCATAAAATATTTACTATTTTTAAAATTAATTTTGAGAAAAAATTTTAAATAAATGGCTTATAATGAGCTTTTAGTTTAAAATCTACTTTTACGATTAGTAATAATTCTATCAATAATTTTGTAGTATGCCTCTTACGCTAATATTCTTTTTATTTGGGGCTATCTGAAAAATTATGGCATACGTATCTATAAATTTTCCATATTTACCAATTTTCCCTAACCAGATTTAATTTATGACTGGGTATTATGCTCCAAAATTAAAATTTATGGACTTTAAGTCATGTAAGATACCTAGATTATTAGGTAAGAATACTTAATAAGAATCAAAACTCGTACTTGAAATATTGCAATACGTCAGCATGAAAATTGTTTTCAGAAATAAACATGGATAAGTATATAATACTGTGTACTGTATAGTTAATATAATTATTTTAAAAGTTACAATATTACTATTATTTATCATATCTAATGTGTTCGTTCACCATTTCGGTAATTTATGTGGCACCGACTTGGTACCATTTTAAGCGTTAGTACTTATTTTAATAAACGAAATAAACAAGTCAAAAACAAAGTGTGCGAACGAATGCGTAAACCAAATAGCATTTAAATATGTGCATAGATCAAACACTCACATTGTAAAAAGTTACATGAATTATTGCACGTTACAATCTAAAAATCAAAAAATAAACACATAGAATAAATTTTATTTATCTTATTCCTAATATATTTTAAAAAATGAATACTTATTTTATTATATAGAATATTTTAGAATATCCTTAATATAATTAGTAATAATACACATAGAAAAAACTCATTCTGTCCATTTAAAAAGAGTAAAAAAACTATTTATTGTTTCTTTTTACAATCCCCATCGCTAATATGTTATCCATATTTTTTTTTTGAATAAAATTCATTAATTTTTTTTTACAATATAAGATTCAATTATAGTTGAAAAAAAATTTTTTTTTTAAATTTTCAATGACATTATAATAGTACCTATTAATTCATTTAACGATGTTATTTCGAAATAATTATTCTAGTAAATATATTATTGCGTATAATTTTAATTTCGTCATTCAACATAAATTATTATATTGCATGTCTACATTGGTTAATACTTATTTATAACCTTTGGGTCTGCATAGCAATTGAGTTGTCGCATATTATATTGAACTCGCGCTGAGTTCAAGTGCTTTTATGAATATCATGTCGGTGTTTTTTTGATACTTGATACATACATACATACTTTATACATCACATTGGTGTGGTAGTTTATTAAAACGTGAGCACCAAAGACTTTGTATTTTTAACTTTTTTTTTAATGCTCGTTGAAAAATATGAGTGTACTTATAGTTTTTAAAATATTATATTTAAAATAAAAGACTGCGAATCCGTTTTTACGGGATAGAATAAGAATATTATTTAATTTATTATAATTGTTTTGAAGTTTAGACAAGATGATTAGTGATGAGGAGTCTGGTGTATCTTGAAATAACTCCACTCTGCAGTGTTTGTTGACGAGGGTTGACAAGCATTATTAGTTCTATACAAACATTTTATTTATTTTTTTATTCATTTCAGAAAATATACTTTTTATGGAAAAATGTATAACACAGACTTTATGAGTAGTTATACTAGACAAAGATAACTATTTATATATTAATTCAACTAATAAGTAATTAGTATTTAAAACTTGAAAACCGTATAATTAATACACACTTTGTGATTTGTGTTTTCGGCGAAATAATTTTTGATTCATACAAAAGTTATTCGAAAAAAATTATATCGAACAAAAATTTCTCAATTTGTAAATATTATAAAATTCCCTAAAATATAATCAAATATAGCTTCTGACTAAATATGATATGTAACATGTATAATAACTAATAAGGAATTAATTAGTATTAATAAAACATTATAACTATATCGGCTATATCCGCATCGAGAAAAGAACAATTTCGCAAAAACATTATGGTATAAATTCATTAACTTAAGTACTATTATTAATGGAAACATTTTGCTCATTTTTGTCATTTGATCGTATATGTCTTTAATTTAATTATGTTTATTAAAGTATTACAACATAATCTTTTATCAAGTCGAACGACTATACCTACATACGAATCATATACGAAACTTTACTCTTATTTTTATCACAAAACCTGATAAATATTACATAATATATTAAGTTTCATTATGTTAAGTACGTATCAACTAGCTATTTTGTCTACCTATTTAATTAAAAAAAAAAAAACATAATTAAAAACTTTTAATTTATTGTAATATATTTATTTTAAAATGTAACTTTAAAATATACTATACTGTTTATAATTTTGAATTTGAACGTAATATTTCAATTTATAAAATCATATTAATTGCTTATTCTACTGTTTTTTGAAAAATTTGTATACAAGGTTGGAAACGTTTTGAGAAGTAGTAATTCTAGTTCTATCTGTAACGCTTCAATTTCTTTGTGCAATTCTAACACTTTGGTATTGATCTGTGTAAATTGCATTATATTTTTCATCCTAAAACAAAACAATATGTGTTATGATATTACCCAATATTAATGTCACTATTACTTTTATTAAGGTTATACAAATTATATTTAAAATAACTAATTTATTTATTTATATACATGTTTGCTTAAACAATTTGACATTTACATATAAATTCTTGAATAGTATTTTTACGATATAATTTTATATTGATAATTGTGTAACCAAAAATACGGTATATTTACTTTTCTCTATTGTAACGCATCAGTTTATCGTTTACACCGTAATCAATGAGGCACTTTAACTCGATTAATTCAGACATCATTTGGTTAATGTCTTCATCTGCCTTTTTATTTTTATTCTTAGTATCTCTTACTATTTTTAACATTTCATCTAATTTTTCATTTAACTTTTCTTTCTGTTTTGTATAAGTCTGAAAATAATACATTTTGTCATACGCCTACTGATGAATTTCTCCTTTTCTTATAATAATAATATAACAATACAGTATATTTGTTGTTTTTGAACTGTTAAGTATTAAATTACAGTTAATGTGAATACCTTTTATCAACTGTACACATTGTCATGTTTTTATCATAATCATTGAAGTTCTAATGTTACCTTATTCACAATAAAATACTAGGTATAGGTATCTAAATATTATTATGTATGAATTATTATTCATATTACATTAATAATACTTAACACCCACGTATATAATGTACAATACCTTTTAATTATTGTAAAATATGTAAATCTATTGAAATCGTTTCCTAAATATCTTACAAATTTAATTGCTGCTAGCTCTTTGTCCATGTTTTGTTCAGCTTGCTCTGCATTATTTATTCCTTTCATCTTAAACTTCAAATAGTTTAGCATATTTTCGGTTATTTTCATTGATGTTATGAGATCAAAACGAAATTTATACAATGGAATTTTGTGTTTTTTTTAGAATATCGTGTTCCCATTTTAAAAATCGACATTTACGTTTGAACTTAAGTAAATTAGATAAAGCATCAATTTTAGTATTGCCCATTTTCTAAAAATTATAAATTTAATAATAATTAATATTTAGTATTAAGTGCTTATATTAACATTTTTTGTTTAAAAAGTTAGTGTTATAAACTTATTATAAATGAGTATAGAACAAAGTTAGATTAAATCTTATAGTAATGAAATTAATAATTTAAATAAAATGTTCACATTTTATAAATTGTTATCTAATATAATATCATCTATATAAATGTATTTAAAATTATTTACTTTTATTTCAGCGTTTACTTCATCAATAACATTTTTAGAAATAAGTGTAGTATTTTCGAAATCACTGAAGTGTCCTGTTAATGTGATTTCAACGTTCCCCTGTGTCACAACTAATTGAATCTAAAATTTAAGTTAAAAACGAATACATATTTTTTGTATTCACTACTATAAATACTATTTTTACCTCAGGATTATCCTCATAATACAAATCTTGATTTTTTAATTTTATAATAGACATTTTTAATTTCTCAATCATTGCTTCATTTTCTTCTTTATTGCGCTTTAAACTATCCAAAAAATTGTCCTTGTCAGTTGCGTCTTTTTGACAAGCACTAATCTTAAATTCTGATTCAATTTTCATACGTCTAAAATTGCAAACCTTATGCCAAGTTTCTCTGTCCATATTTAGTTTATAATCATCTACGTATTTATAATCGTCATGTACCCTAAGTGTATCTAAATATTTAACAAACTCTGAGGTCAAAAGTTGAAGCTTATCGTCAGTTGGATCCATTATAGTGTTGACAAACTGGTAACCGAGTATTGGCGAATAATTTATATTACCTTGTAATTTAGGTCTCCGACTAAAAGTTGAAATTAATTTTAAAATATTTTATAATTACTTAAGTTTAATCCTTAATTTAATTTTACTTGTATGCTATTAATGCTTGTTCATAAATAAGTTTAGACGGAAACTCAGATTTAAAACGTTTATTAAGAATGTTGTTTTTGTGATTCAACGTTTCTATAGTATTGAGCAAAGAATTTGGCTCGGTTTTTGCTATTTTTTTATTTGTTTCCGTTATAATTTGTTCAATCCCCGTTATAGTTTCACTTAATTCCAAAATTGTTTCACTTCATGTAACAATGTAACAATTTAAAAATTTGATAAAATATTTAAAAAAAATAAAATAAATTTATATATTTACTACTTACTTGTGTTGTTGAATTTGATGTCTTCGTTGATCACTATCGCTTAACATTTTTGAAAGCCTAAGCATTTTCAAATTCTCTTGATCGATAGCTGAATTGTACTTCAACTTTGTTTGAAACAACATAAATACATTATTGTCAAATTTTTCTATAATCTCTGTAATGTGATGATGAATTTTTATTTTTTCTTCTTCGAGAATATTTTTGTATTTTATTCTCTCGTCATTCAAATTCAAAGTTAATTTATTGTACTCATCTATAGCTTTTAAATCATCTTCCGTAAAATCCTCAGGATTTTTGTTTAACTATAAACAAAATTAATCAGTGATGTATGCAGCATTATTTTGCCAAATTTCTGATGCTAATTCTTGTTTTTCCATCATTCCCATTCAAAATTTTAAATTTTTTAAAGTGAAATAAATTTTAATTATTTTATATAAGTATTACAAACTGATATTATTAACTTGGAAAATATGCAAATAACTAATTTTAAATAAATTAAATATTTAATAATATGTATGTAGCATGTTCTAAAAATTAATTTCTATTTATCAAAAACTAATTGTTTTTTCATGATAGTTGTTAAATTTTAATCATATATAATTGCTTTAAAATATTCATAACTATTATACTACTATTAGAAATAGTGTCGACAGATGCTCTCCCCCTAATGTTTTCCAAGTCAAGTATACACTAATTATTTTCAACGTATTTACTTATTGTATTTTACTATATCTATAGATTATAAATGTATTTTATAAGAAAAAATAAATAAATATTTTGATACGAGTAAATAGGTAATTATACGAGTAGATGCATGATAACTAGTTTGTCGATAAGAAAAGTGCCTACGAAGTGATCTTCACCTCAAACTGACATAAATTTTAAAATATACACTCACACACCATAATGCATTGCGGTTTTGGCACATCTTTTTTCAATTCATCTTCCCACCTTTTTTCCAGTACACCATCCATCATAAAAATCAATGCTCGCTGTCTATAATTGTTAAGATTTACTGATTCATTGTTTCTTTTTTCTGTACTTGAATTCACGTCATTCGACATTTCTTTGTTAGATAATATATTATTACGATACAGTTCTACGGAAACTTCATTGTCATTGACATGTAAAAGGTCTTCGATTTTTTCATATTTATTCCATTCGTAATCAATGGGTAACGGTTCAGTAGATTCAACTAAACAAAATTAATAGACATCACAACTGTATTCGAGCTTTTACTATAGTTTGTTTAGTTTCAATACTTTTGCACGCCAATCTCAACTCAATTTCGATTACACGCAATCTTTCATTATATTCTTTCAAATTATTCAGTTGTTGTTGTTTTTCCATAAATAAATCATCAAATAGTTGATTGAATTTATGCTTTAATTTGTTCACCATAAACTAATAAAAAATATATATTATAGTAAAGAAGAAAGACAGATTATTAAGATTATTATGTATTAAAATAATTTTTAATATACATGAATACATCATGTTTTTATTGTTTACATACTTTAAGTAAAATGATTTCATCTTCGGCCATTTCTAATTTATAATAACTGTATTGAGAATTTAGAGTGTCGATAGTTTCAATAAACTCATAACTGATTGAACCCATCATTGATAAATCACTACTTTGGTGCTTGTAATCGGATTCCAACGAATTTGATTGAACATCTGATATCTTAAATTTATTTCTAGAAAAAAAATGTTTTTGACATTTGCATAAAATATATTTTTTATTTCTTACATGGAAAATTGATCTTCAACACTAGATACTTGTTCTGACATATCTTTGATTAATATTCTTTTTTCGATGATTTCATTTGCTTTTTTAATAATATCTTGGTCTATTATACTTATTGCATAGTTATCTACTTTATATATATTTTTTAAACACTAAAATTACATTTAAAATCAGTTGTTTTTATAATTTTAATACGACATACATACATATATAGATTTTGGTTTTATATAAAGTGTTTCCCATTTTTCCTTAATAATATTTTCAGTTTCCATTTTAAACTTATATATGTCACTAAGAATTTTTTCTTCGTACTCTTTACGTTTAAGCTTACACTTTTCTCTGAAACTTTGTCTATAATCTACATTTAAATCGAATTCTTCTATATCTATTTTCATGTCTTCCGGTCCATTGACATTAGTTTCCAATAAATGTCGAAGCTAAAATTTAAAATACATAAAGAAGTCGTAGATTAACTACATAATAAACTGAAATTAGATATTATAATTAATGATTATTTTATCCTATTATGATTTATTACTATTATTTATAAATATTATTTTAGTTTATTTATTCAACTGTTATTATCATTATTATTACTTCTGCTTTTATTTTTTCAAAATTGTGTATAATTTGTTGTTTTTGATTACTGTAAATCACTATGCTTTCATTTAATTTGTTTTGTTGATTAATCATTTCCCATGTCATTCGTTTTGGAGCTGAAAAATAGTGAAATTTAGTCAATAAATTATGATGTTTTCATATATTATAATAATTAACAATAATAAACCTACATTCTGGTCTATCTTCAAAACCGATTCCCATTGTTACAAAATTATCCTCAATAATTGGAAAATTGATTTTATCAATTTTCTTACTATTATTTGATATGCCTCTAAAATTTATAAATAATAAATAATATTTTATTTAAATCATTTCAATTGTACGATTTACTTAAAGCTTGTACACAAAAAGTTTCCTTGATAACTTAGTGTTAGCATGTTATGGGCATTGCCATCGATTTGAGCAGCTATCAACCCTCCACTTTGCCAATGACTACAATTAACCATAATAATTTTTTTCCATTGATCATCATCATTAAGCTCATAAACATAGTATGAACCATCCGGACTAAATGTTATACAATGATTTTCGTTCGTATATGTCTTAATACTTTTTAATTGATGATCTAATGATATGGTTTGTAAATTCAACATTGTTTCCTTGAACGTTAACATATCATAACAAATAATAAAAAATTGGTAAATATTGAATCATATACCTTTTCGATATCTATAGTCATCAAATGAATACTTCTGGACAGCAAGACAGTAAACGCTATGTCTAATACACCAGGCACACTACATGAACTCCATTTAAATACTGATGTATAATAATTTTGCATATCTTTTAATTTAAAAACTATATTAAAATTTACATCAAATATTAAAATATTATTTCCAGCATTTTCAGCGTTTTTTAGATCTGAATATAAAACTGTCAAAAACGATGATTTTTTATTATCGATTATATCAATATTAATTACATGTTTTTCCAACTGATGTTCTCTTAATACTGCACATTGCTGTCCTAATGTAATCTAATAGATGTATATAAGTGAATTATATTTTTATTTTACAATTAAATATGAAAATATTAGATTATTATTATCACCATAACATTATTTAATGATCATAAATAGACAATAATAATAAGTGTTAATTAATTCTTTTGAATAGTAAACCATACGTTTTTAGTAAAAATCAATTGTCAATTAGGTCATTAAATGACATTATAAAATGATAATATCAAATTAACTTATATTTACTCACATTAATATAATAAAATCGGCCCGTGGGGAAACTAGTGACATTACAAATGTTTCCGTCAGAGAAAAATTTTATCGAAGATAAGTCTTCATCACATAGTACTATTTTCGTAATGCACTCTATTTTGTTTGCTTTGGAAGCAGTTCTTAGCAATTCTATTTTACCGTTTTTAAACGTAATGGCAATATAGTGGTAAAATGGATTACTACACAAATCCGTTGCGGTCCCATTTAGTTGCATCTTGCTTTTCTGTAAAACAACAAGAGACAATAATAGAATTCTACCCTGCCTTAATGGATATTAAAAATGTTTACAAATTCTCCGGTCGAAGCATCCCACACTTGCAAAATGTTTGTATGGTTTATGGTAGCCACCATTTCGTCCGTCGGTTTGATAAAAGTAAAATACTTGATTTTTGATCCGTACACTTTCAATATTTGTTGTTTTTTCTGTGTTAGTCGTAGCAGGGTTCCCTGCAGGATCAAAAATATATATTTATTGACTTATCTGATATTGTTTAGACGCGCATGATACTTTAATGTAATATTATGTGATAGTGTTTTGTACCTCGTCCGACCATCCGTAAACGTCATTTTTTACAGCTACCATACACTGCAATATGTGATCAACGACTATTGTCCATATTTTTGTAAAAATACCCCTGGTATCCTTGAAACACTGTGGGTTGCATACAATATATAATGGATTATTTTAAGGAAGATTATATGCAATAATTATATTATTATCACTGAGGCACATATCGAATGACAAGTATGTGATTGTACGTATGGAAATTATGTGCATAACATTAATTCAGTGATATATTTTCAATAATCCACCACAGATTGGAAATACCTAATTTTAGATTCAACACAATATTCAAATTAACTAAATATTATAATTTATAATACTATAGTTAATGATGTTTTGAAATGAGTTTCTCATACCAATATACCACGTGAATATCACAAAATAAAGTAATTTTAGTGATATTGTACGGTCAGTGATGGTTGTCATATTTACATATACAAATATACTCTTAAAATATTCTACAGTATACGCTGCTATAAAAATAATTTTTAGTTTTTATATTTTTGGTTATTTGTACACAAGGTTGTATGTGTGTATGTGTGTATGTGTGTGCCGAATTTTCAAATTTTGCATTTTAAAATGAAGACGCACAGGGATTTGTTGCCTCACGAAAAACGAATATTTTTGTTTTTAAAAAATGTTCATTGGTTTAATGAATAAAATAGTTTTTTTTAATCGGAAATATTTTAGATTTGTATTTTTTATTTGATAAAATCCATCCAAAAAACTGTATTGAAAATTTATGCAGACAAAATTTAACCGAATTTAAAAGGGATAAATTTACGGGCATTTAATTTGTTACAGGGAAGTCATGCATAATCAGCTAATTTTATAATGTATTATACACATTATACAACATATATACAAATTAACAGAAAACGCAATTCAGCAAAAGAAATATTATTATATAGAAAAATATAGAAAATTCCATAAGAGATCGTCATTGCAACTCGAAAAATAACAATCATATACATTTATAACAATAATATTATGATATATATTTATTTTGTAGATGGTTAAAAAATCGTTCGTCATTGAAGCACACAATCTAGTGATTAAATCTTTTGAAAACATCGTAAGGTTTTTTATAGTATATGTTACATAATATTATATATTTTATTATTATTAGAAGTTATTTTCAGATTAACTATTTTTTGTGTATGCCAATGACGTAATTTTTTGTACTTCTCGTTTTGGGGATGGAGACTGCATTTGATTTCGACCCAAAAAAGCTAAATAAACATCAAAGTCTATTTACAATATTTGCACAAATCGTTATTCAATTACGTCTCCATAATAATAACTAATAAACTTATAAAAAATAAAAAGTAAAGCCATCAATTAGCTTAAATGTAAAACAAATAAATTATTATATATATATCTGTAAAAAAATTATATTAATTTCATGTAGGTAACAAGAACATCTACGCTTATATAAAAACACGTATTATTTATTGTTATAATAGTAATAAATTACATACTATTCACGGCATTATACCTATAATAGCTATGCTAATAAATTATAAATAATAAAATACAGTTGTTTGTTAATTGATGGGTTATTATTAGTTATTGTTTTTATGAACTCAAAATGTAATATTTTTTTTCGACTACATGTTTGTTTTTTTTTTTAAATTTTTGATTCAATTTTACTTATTAATATGTTTCATATTGTAATATGTATTGTACTAATTCAATTATATTTTATAAGTTATATAATTTATAATTTTTTTTTATTTAAAAGTCTATAACTCTCTATCTCCAACACCAACTTAGCTTAAAGGAGATAGATAATTGAAAATGTTATAATTATTAAAATCATCATGTATATCATTCTTATTTCAATCAATAAAAAAAAAAAAATGTTATACCTGAAAATCCGTTTGAATGTTATTTCAACATCTCTAATAATTTAAAAACTTACTTTGGGATACAAATTACATAACAAATAGAATTAATTTTAAATAAAAACGTTTACATCAGCGTTTCTCAAACTGTGGGTCGAAGTAGTATTATATTATTATTATAAGTATATTATTACAATTATTATTATTATAAAATAGTAAATAATTAATAAAAAAATTTGTTTTTTTGAAATTACTTTTTTGATTCTGTAAATGTAAAACTATGGGTGTCGCGATAGATTTTTGGAAAAAAATTTGGGTCGCAGTCCTAAAAAGATTGAGAACCACTGGTTTACATGCATTCCTCGATTCAATAAATATTTTCCAATTATTAAAAACCGACATTTAAGATGGTTTACTAGAATTTACAAAAATGTACGTATTAACTGATTATAACAAAACCGTTTAATTTAATTTGTAGTTAGTTAAATAAATCAATAGTAATGAGTTTTTCAACTTTCTCATAGCTTACTTTTTAATATAAAAAACATAATTCAAATCATATACCAAAATTCCTCTACTTCATTTATTATCATTTCTGATTTTATAATGCAAACGTATAAACACAAATACTGTATTTTTCATCATCACATTTGTGTTAAATGGCTACTGATATACAATTTGTTTAGTTCTATAATAGTTTTGTACAATGTACACATATAAATTATATAATATCGACATGTTATGATGCTATTGGGTTTTTTATTAATCTATTCTGTTTCGATTGTCATTTCACACGTCACAACATTTTTAGTTGTCCATATTTCTTGTACAATTGTACGGTAGTTGGCCATAATCAAGTTTCTAAATTAATACTATCTCAGTCATTAAAATATTATAAGTATTACACACTTAAAGCTCTCATTTTCACGCTACACATGCATCACACAACGTGTATGTTCATAGAAATAACCATATCAATAACAATAATAATAATCACCGTTAGACGGTTGTCTTGGTTGGCCGCGTACAATACGAAACCCTGTTTGCTGGGGCACACCAACGCGCCCAGACCGTCGTCATTTCCGCATTTTTCCGAGATAGAATCCATTGACGCCACGACTATTTCCGGTTCCGGTGCGCCGGGTTGTACTCGGTAGACGTTCGCCAACGAGTCGCAGAACACATACCATCCATACGGTGTCCAGCAGCCTGATGCCAAGGCATCTGAGGGAACTTTCACCCGAGTCCTCTCCGCGTACACTGTCTTGCAGCTCACGAACAACGTCCACAGCTGGAGCTTACACCTAACATCGTGTTCCGTCTGGCTCAGGTACATGTCGTTTCGACCAGTGGCGGTGGTGATCTGCGACAGACTGCGTGTCGTGTGACACATCAATATATTGTAAATTTTATTGTATTATATTAGACTCGATTTCAAGAAAGACTCATGAATATATTTTCACGCACATTTACTCAGAAATTTGTCAAGTTTAAGAGAGGTCGAGTAATATACTCCATTGTTGCATTTTACCAAATAACGTAATTCGTCATTGTATTGAGTTATTGTATTTAGTTCAGCTTTTCAATATTATATTATGTAATTGTTTATAGCTTAGAATGGTCTAAATTAAAATCTTTCGAAAAGTTTTATTTATTCAACGTATAATAATATGCAATATAAACGATTAAAACACGTACGTGTGTTACGTATAATGGTAGGGTTTACGGTTTACACTACATAATTTTAAGAGACTTAAAATATTACATGAATGGAGTTATGAATCAATTAACAAATAATTTTATATTGTGTGGGTAATAACAATATACAAGTGAAAGTCTATAGAAACTTTTTTTTTTTATTAAAAACCGTAATTATAATCATGTATAAATTAATGTTTAGTACTATCTGACTAAATATATACATAAAAAAAAATCTAAAATTTAAATTAGGGTATATTTTTAATTAGAGGGTATATTTATGTAAGCAGAACTTTAAATCGATGATTTAAATAGATTATAAGTATAATCATCTTGGTCTTACTTTTTGAACTCTATGGATTTTAAGTTTAAAAAAATTCTAAATCTCAAAATCTCGATATCTCAAAAAGTTTTTATGAATTGACACTTATTATTTAAATTTAGATTAAGTCTTAAAATGGCAACTGCATTTGTAATACAAAATAATGTATTGTAAATGCATATATTTTAAATTAACATAAGCTTATTGTTTATATTAGTTTATGTGCTATTAAAACTTTTATAAAATAATGCAATCTAACTCTATAACTCTCATCTAGTATTTATTTATTTATTTTTTTTGAAAATATTAAGTAATAATTATAATAATTATACTATTTCAAAATTCAAGCTTTACATATTTTGTAAAGTTTTTTTTTTTTTAAATAACTATTGAATGCTTCAAATAAAATACAAAATTTCATTTTTCATATTTTATTATGTTTTAGAAAAATGTTATAAAGGCACTACAATATTTACTATCTATATTATATCATACCAGTAAAACCATATAAATTATTATGGCAGCTTTCATTAAATCTTTTTTATTAATCATATAATTGAGTATATGAACTATTTATACTATTTTTTGTACTGTGAAAATAATATTTCCATAATGATATACAAATTGTACGACCAAACAAAATAAAAATTAGTACCTACGTGTTTGTGCATCATTTCATACATTTACGTTTCCAATGTATGTTATTCATTTTATTTTTTTTTCACTACCTAATACCTTTGCATACATATTTTTATATTCCCCCTTTTAAAAACCCCCCCCCCCCAAAAAAAAAAAGGAATAAATAAATAAAAATGGTCTTGTAAAACGATATATATATATTATCCATATTAAACACATCCAAAATTTGATAAAATACTTTTCATGTACTCTTTTCATATGAGATGGAATGATATTAATTTACGAACATTATGAAACCATATATAAGACATTTATTTTAGGTATAGGCGTTTCAATGTTATAAATATTTGAAAACAGAATATCATAAATATTATGACAGGGATGCAGCGTGAATGAGATTATAATATTATTATCATTTTACATTATAATAATTATAACTTATAACTTATAACTCAATACAAATATGTAGTGCTTAAAAATAATTATATTATTATCTGCTATAAAAAAAAAAGGAACTAATGAACTGTGTGGATAAATAAATAAAAATATAATATTTCATAATATTATTTCTATGAATAATTTTTTTTTTTTTTTTATCATACAATCTATGAAAAAGTTTACAAAAAGCATAATTTATGTAATTTTTTTTCTATTATATGGACGTTGAAGATATCTGAAGTGAAAAAGTTACTCATTAGTGGTAATTTGTGATGAATAATTAAAACCAAATTTAGATATATTCTATAGAAATAAACCGACTAATTGATACATCATCTGTGCGTCAACCTTGAATCAAAAAGGATACAATAGTAACTGATGTTGATATTTTCATAATATTTTTTATTTTTTACTTGAATGAAATGAACACAAGTATTTAATTGTATTCATTTAGCATATTTTTGTAAAAATTTTAAATGAATAGTGTATTTTAAAATATTTTTAGTGTAATATGTAATCTAAAAGATTAAAGCCCTATAATACTATTGCCACGCTATTATTATTATTATTATACGGAAGAAAACCAATCAGTGTTGGGTAGTGTATATATATCATACACACGCACACACACATATATACATATATTGTTTATTATGCTCGCGGCACTTGGCACACCAAGCAGACGGAGCGTGCTTTTACTTTAGATATTGGTTTGGCTGAATGAATCCGGTGTCGACGACCAACAGTTTTTCTCCAATTCTCCACGCCCACACGATCAAATCGAATGCCGGGTAATCACGCAGGCCGATTAAATATTCCAACCTCAGGAACAGTATAGATTTGTATGGGGCAGAGCAGCTACTATCTGAAATCCATTAAATACCCCTTTGACATAAAAATGTTTAGCATGTATACAAATTGCTTCATCAAAACCATAAAAATGATTTCGTCAGTTAATTTTTATGATTAAAAAAAAAAAAAAAAAAAAAAAATTGTTTATTTAATTTGTAACACTTTATTATGGAACTAATTTTAGCTACATTTTTTCATCGTAGTAGCTTTTGATATTTTCAAAAGTAATGAAGTTTTTTCAATTTTATAAACACCAAAATACTTATTATCTTTACCTTACTATATTATTGTATAAAATTATTTAAAATTTATTGATTATAGCTGAAAAATTATTTAAAAAATCACTATAACGTTATGGGTGATTGTGGATTGATATTCTAATATACAATAAAAAAAAATTAAAACATATCAAAAATATTTACAAATTAAATACAAAATTATGAAATATCCCTGTAATTTATTTCTAATCTATTAGAAACCAAATAACAATCACTGCAATGGAAATGTAAATAAAAATTAGATTTAATGTTCTTACTTTACATAATATTATGGATATAGATTTCATTTTATTTATTAATTAAAAATTGTCTCATTCATCCATATTTATTAAATAATTATGATAGCTACGTAGAAAAATTATAAATGTATGTTAAAACTTATTTTTTTTTAATTTAGGTAATAAAATTGTATATTAAATAAAATAATCAAGATATTATCACTTGCCAGAGTTGTAGCTATATAACAAATAAATTGGTCATACATAATAAAAAAGAAAAAATTGATTAAAATATATAAAACATAAATATTAATAAGCACATATCACAATTTTCAAATTGTTTATAAAAAAAAATTTAAGGTAGACATACCAGGTTTAACGACCATTTAATTTGGTTAAATTACATTGTGCTCAAATAATATCACATTTTACTTTTAAATCATATCATATTAGGATTTAAATATTATATATTCTATACTTACCATTAAGAGTTACCAAAACTTTCAGATCAGGATATAAACATATAACCACCTTGGATATTGGTGGATGTTCAGCCAAGGCCAGTAAATCTATATCACAGCAATCGAAACATCCAATACCTTCTAAACATAGATTATCATCACCACCGCCACCTGGAGTCGATTTACTGCCTACTATGAGGATATCTTCTTTTTGCGTATTCGTGTCATAAAATATTAACGTTTTTTCGACATGTATCAATAAAACATCTTTGGACACGAATTTCAATTCATTTACACTTGCTGGTTTTAACCATCTGGAAAAATTATTTTTTTGAATAAAAAAAAAAACCGGTTAAAAATAAAAATAAAAATAAGAAACCAAATTTATTGTCACATTGACCTATTTAAAAGACTTAATTTATTAATTTTAAGAAATTAGTTATATATTATTATTATGTGTTTGACACAAATGCGGAAAGTTAGCGAAGAAAATACAATAGGGAAATGCAGAAAATGGTGAGCTTAGCTTCAGTAACTATCTTCATTAAAGATCAGAGAATTCAATGGCTAGGTCATATCTTTAGAAGAGATGAAAGCGACCTTCTACGAATGGTGTTTGAATGGAAAATACAAGGTAAACGACCAAGGGGACATCCCAGAAAGAGGTGGATAGATGAAATGACAAAAGACCTAAACGCAATGAATGTAGAAAATTGGTGTGAAATTGTGCAAGACAAAGAAAAGTGACGAGATATTGCAGTGACAGCTTTAGCTAGAGTATTAGGTATTTGCCAGAAAAAGAAAAAAAAGATTTTTATTATTATATAATACTCATTATTTATTCAATTAGGTTTTTAATCTTGTAACTAATTATGTGTTTTTATATTAACGTGCAAGACGTTTGATACACTACATTTTATACGTATCAAAGAGACGATAAACAATTTAATTTTATGTGTAAATAATACAAATACTCAATAAGGTATTACATATTTAATGCTTAAAAATATACAATTTTTTTGAGTTTCAAAGATACTACACAAAATTGAATTGTATTTATTATAAATATTAAAATACCTGATAAAGTACTATATGATAATATATTTATATGATGATTCGCGAAAATACAAAAATTGTTGTACACTAATAAATAGTACTTCTTGCCAATAAATATATATACGTATAATGCGTAATGTAGATAAGTATAATAATACATATTATATTTGATTCATTTATCGCAAATCCAGATATATATATTTACCTTGCAAATACGCAGTTATTGGATACCTTTGCACTTTCTTCTATATTTTCTGCCTGGTTGCACAATTCTTCTTCACTTAACGATTTAAAAGTAATATTTTCTTTTGATTCTTCCATCATCTGTTTAGAAACAATTTTTTAATATTTTTAGTATAATAACAGGTTTTTGATCTGTACACTGATTATAATAGTATTATGAAACTAACGTTATCTGACTATAATATAATATATTTTGATGTTTTTATTTCAGTTCAATTTTATCACAAAATATGTTGTATAATTACATTAGTACATTTAAATATTCAAATCCAAGAAAAAAATATATTTTAAATTAATTAAATAATTATAATATGATATGGATATTATCATATAGTAAAAGCTGTTATATGATAAACTGGATACATAGCTAGGTACTAAAAGTTCATGTTCAAATTATTTAAATAATTAATTTGTTAATACTTTGTATTTCGAGAGAGCTATTTACGATGGCTTATTTGGTCTATGAGTATAGGTTAGGTTTACTCTGCATATAATTTTATTATGTTATATATAATGTGTGTGTGTGAACGCGTGTAATAGAGATATCATTATACATTTAACATGATTACCCCAAATTAATTTCTCCAAGGTGTAGTGTAACGTGTAATAGGGTTGCCATTGTGAGTGATGAGTCGTTTTTAGTATAAAATATGAATATCACGTAAAAATATATAATTTTATTATGTGGTTTAATAATTAATCTTAAAATATTAAGTATATCATACTCATAAATATATTTATAAACACTATAAATTATAATTTGTATAAACAAATATGTTAAAATATTGCATATTTATGTATTATAATTAAAGGCAGGACTTTAAAATTAATAATAACGTCAAAAATGTAATTCTCAAAACTTAAAAAGTAAAAAATTGTATTTAAAATTCATTAGCTTTTTTTGTTTTTTTTTTTCAAACGTAATATTTAAGTATAAGTAATAAGTATATGAAATACGTATAATTAAGATTAGGTCATCTTCAGATTACTTGATTTGAAAAAATAACTAAAAAAACACATTTTAATTAATCGACCAATTCTATATTTATTTTTTTCGATGGTCATAACTAGAACTAGAACTTTGATGACTTACGAATTTCTTTTTCTTTAAGTGCTATACAGTTTAAATCAGAAATCAAATTTGTTTCGTTATGTAACAATTTAGAATGTTTAATTTTAATTTTTCTTTTTTTGTGTTAAATTAATTTTATTGAATTTTTAAGGTCACTTTTACAAAATATTACATTAATTTTGTGTATTTTAACTCATTTTTGTTTATTTTAAGCTTTTTTAATATGTGTTGTATAATTAATCCCAATTACCTACTCCAGTCCAATTATATTGAAAAATTAATATAATTAATTGTCAACTCAAATTTAAATCTATTTATTTAATTTACTTCTTAAAACAATTTTTCACTTATTTTGTGTAATATAAAAATGTATAAATAATAATTAATAATTGATAATAAAAAATTATTTTTAATTTAAATTTTTTCACTCATCTAAGTGCATTTTTTAAGTTAATTTTTAGTTTTTAGGTCATATTTGCATATTTTTTTTAATGCATTTTTGTATTTTTTAGGTCATTAAAATCCTATTTCTAGTCATAACTAATTATTACTTATATAAAGTTTGTTGTTGCTGCACTGTATAGTGTATATGCTGTTTAAAGTTGTCAAACAAAAATTAAGTCGTTGGTTGGATAATGGATTTTTGTAAATAAAAAAAAATCAACCGATACCACAATAGTATGTTTAAAATATTGTCATTATCTAGTCAATATAATATGATGATTTTTATTAAAGCAGACAACAATAAATTATGTTATTTATTTATATAAATTGTGATATCGGTTATCGATGATAATTTATTAATAAGTTATAAAATAATTAACACTTTATTTATACTTAATAGATACCTAATTTATGTTTATCCTGTAAAGCAGAAAATTAAAATTTGTGAAAATTGCTCCAAGACTTGAAAATGCTCTGTAAAATGTTGTTAAATTTGTCAAAAAAATTAAATTAATATTAAAATAATCAGTATAATATACAAATTATTCACTTAAGGATGAGCAATGTTATAAACATCAAAAAATAAAAATAAAATTATATAGGTAAAATTCAATTTCCTTTTTTAATAATAAAATTTATATCTCACTAAGACCAGAGTGATTAAACCATTATATTGATACCTATCTAATAATAATATGAACGTATGACGCGTTTGGGCATTAAAAGATATTCAATAGAATTTGATTATTAATTATTATTTTATTTAGTAATTAAAGTTCAACTTACCATCATATTGAATCTATGGTCAACAGATATTAATTAATGTCAACTATTGTAAATATAATAGGCACATATATCGATAACAATCATATAGGTACCTAAACTAAACTATTTAAATTATGTGTTAAATAAAAATTAGGTATTGTATATTTTTCTGACAGGACGGATGAGGTAACTAAGGAAACCTAACTGTTTGTTTCCATACCGGCAGCATATTTGTTAGTGATACAAACATAAACAATTTTGAACTCATTTTGATCAATACTATGACTTTAATATCGTGTATCCATAGTCTGACTTTTTGAAACTAATTTAAATATGTTTAAAATCTAATAACGTTTTCAATTTGATGTCTCATCATGCTTTGCTGCATTCGCGATGAGGGAATTTGTAAGAGTACAAACCCCTTTTCTTCTTTTTTTTAATCGAAATCGATTTCATAGTTTTTTGTAATTGGTATAATTTTATTTTCTATTATGCATTACACATTTTTTCACACCTAATATAGTATAAGTATAATAATACTTAAACAGATATACAAATTATATATATTTATAATATTAATGTTAATACAATCATATTACTATGGTCTATGATTGAATTGGTCTCATTTATGTAATTTATTATTATATTTCTCATTCTGGTTTACATCTTTTCCATTATATTAACTTAATTTTGTCTTATAAAGTCATAAATGATGCTTATATCTTACTTATTTAAAAAAAGATAATGTGATAGGTAACATAAATAAAAAATACTTATTTTAAAATATTTTAAGCTATTACACATTTTTAGGCAGCCTATATAATTTTTATTTTTAAATTATTGTCTAAATTTAAATATTTTCAATTACTATTATAATACCTAATTTAGAAGACGAGTGACAAAAATTATGTGAAATTTGTTAAGCCAGATAGTGTTTAAAAATTAACATTTATATTACAATTATGACTCATCGCTGTATTTTGTTTAATTATGGAATTACCTCCAGTATTGTTATTGTTATTTATATATGTATATAAATAAATTTCAAGTTAGTTATTCAAAATACGGTTGAAAAAGAATTCAAAATTAATAAAAAAATATAATTTTACGTACATATAATATAATTAGTTATATATTATTTCTAGTCTAGTCATACAATAGATATTAGTATAAACCAATATAACCAATTAAATCTTCAGTATATTTCATAGGTGTTTTTTTATTAACAGCTTGGTATCACTATTATTAATTTTTTTTTTGCATCTCCATCCATTACATGACCAAATAAGGTTTGATTTTCGATTGTTTATTATAATAGGATTGACCTGAGCTGGTAATGTAATTAGTTCCAGTACCCAAGCTTTTGTTATTAGCGATTCGGAGAGTAAAAGACAACTATGTAAAGATTTCAGTTCGCTCGTGTGAAAGGTCTCCGGGCAAGAGGAGTTGCAGTGACAAGGCATGGGTAAAGGGCGGGTCTTAATTACATTTTCGTGTTGACGTACAGGCGAGTTAACACTTTCAATACTTGTGAAGCATCAGTGACAATTTGAAAAGAGCTATACCTATATAGAGCTACGTCGTGTATAATAAAGGTCCGACGTCGCTGTAATAATTTGGGTATACATTGGTTAATACAAATTTAATTTGATCAGTTTTAAATACATAATTAATATATTAATTATACCGAGAATATAGCATTAGCGCATGCATTTAATCATAGGGATGATAAACCTTCGACAAAGTGTTTGGTTACAAGCACCAAATTAATCAGGTCACATATTTTATACATTTTATAATTTATAGTTAGACGAAATTAAATTTGTAATTTATTAATTAATAATTTAACTGACCAGTGACCATATTTTAGTGTCCTAATCCTAAATGTATGTCATCCCATACATATTACATATTATGCTATATGTATATGTCTTCGAAATATTCAGTGAATAACATTTATACGATTTTAAGAAATTATATGAATATTTATATTTATTGTATAAATTAATGCTTCACAGTAATGTGTTATTTCTATGATATAAATTCTATCTTACAAATGTACATCATACTAAATTTGCATTCAAGGAAATCAATTTTGTTTAGAGTGAAATTTTAAAGTTAATAAACTTATGATTAAACTTGATGCGGTAGGTACCTAAGGACATTATCTGCTATGTTTCTACGTTTTTACAATATTTTAAATTTTGAGTGAGTTTTGCATAATATGTAAAATATTTTTAATAGAAAATGTTCATAAATTACTAAAATTTAAAATATCATAAAAATTTACCTACATAAAAAATGTTTTTACCTTCGAGTTTAATAATAAGTCCATTCTCTCAAATAAATCTAATTATATTAAAGCTCACAACATTAAATCGGATCTACTTCACACAAACTTGATATGTTATACGGTTGTTTATAATAAATTTTAAATATATTCATTTTTTTTTTATTCTTGTAAGAAATGCCGTTTCTCTGATTTAAATTTATGATGAACTTATAGGGCACCACGGTGCACAGATTGAGAATTGGTGACCTGCTGACCTATAGATGATATCAATGTACAACAACTTCACTGTCGAAATGTATGGCATATTGGGTATTCAAGGTTTGTAATATAAATGGAAAACTTTAAATCGCTAAAGCTTTACGTTTGAGCTACAAATTCCAATTCCATAAATTATTTTTCTCAACGAAAAAAGGATTAAATCTCCACAAAAAATTAGCAAAATAAGGGGTAATCAGTTATGTAAAAAATTTCTGTTTAAGCACATTTATTTTTAATTATTATCAAATTATGCATGTAAAAACACATGTTTTGAAAAAAATAATTCCAAAAAATTGTTTGAGATTTAAATTTTATTCTTTAGGAAAATAAAATGAATAAAAACCTATTATTTAGACAATTATATGAGAATTTTGAATCTTAATGTTGGCATAACTGATATCTCAAAAATCGAATTGCTGTTATCACGTTGTGGGATATCTGATCAATTCATTGTGATATCAATTCAATGAGTTAGCAGTTTGTTTGGAACAATAATCAAAACTCACAAGTCAGAACTAAAAAATTCTCTTCGCTCAGTGTTAAGTGTTTAAAGTTGTTCATTTTGGTATTTCTTTAAATTCAACAAACATCATTCATTATGGTTCTCGAAAGTACTATGATATGGTTAGTATGCACAGCGATGTTCGTTTTCTGTTAAAATTCGTCCGTTTTTATCTTCTATTGTGTAGTATTCACAGTTAGCATAACAACTACAAAATTCATTTTAACACATAGTTATCACATTTTTTTTTAAATTAATTTTTTATTTCGTAGCTAATCATGTATAAATATTAAGTGTAACACGAATAATCATATAAAATAAATATTCTTTCTTCACCAACTTAGCGGGTTATGAAGTCCCATCAATGCCACCCCACTATACTATTCCATCATTCCCTATGATACACTTCTTTGAATTGAACATTCTCATTGATTTTTTTCTAAGCCTCTTTTCATCATGTCATTCCGTCGTATTCAGGGCCTTCCTTGGGGTATATGCGTGTAATTTTTTTTTTTTTTTTTACTCGTTTTATCGTTTTACCATAATCATAGATTTTATCGTTTTATAATAATTTATGTAATACATTTGTTTTTAGTGTTGATAACAGCGACTACATGCGCAATGGTGACTTTGTACCTACGCGTCTGCAAGCTCAACAAGATGCTGTCAATCTAGTATGTCTTTCTAAGACTCGTTCTAATCCTGAGAACAATGTTGGTCTTTTAACTCTAGCCAAGTATGAAGTTCTAGATTTTTAAATAACTTATTGAATTTAATACTTGATTGTTTATTTTTTTGGTTTAGTGTTCGAGTATTGGCTACTTTAACAGCAGATGTTGGTCGAATTCTATCAAAACTGCATCAAGTACAACCTAATGGTGTCATCAATTTTCCTACTGGCATTAGAATTGCTCATGTAAGTTATAATCATTGTATAAAGTATTCAATGTTACATATTTACATAACAATAAAAGTGACATTTTTGCATTATTCAATTTTACAATTCAAACATGTACTTAAAACAATTATTTATCAGTAACATAATTAAAGTAGACTGTAATTTTTGTTTTCAATTATTTAATATTTTTGCATTAAATATGTATATATTTAAATGAATGCATTACTATATTTAGGTCTATTTGATTGTGTCAATTCATCAATAACTTTAAAAAAAATAATCTTTTCTAGGTATCTATTAATTAAAATTTGATCTTGGTCCTTAAAAACAGTTTAAATTTAAAATGTTTTTATCAAAATAAGTTTTGTCAGATAGTTTTTATTGGTAAATTGATTAGTTTTATTAAACTATTTCAACAATCATTAAAACCTTAATAAAATTTTTTGATTTTTTTTTGATAATTCTATAATTATGACAATATATTTTATTTTATGACAGTCTAATATATATTATTAGTTATTACTAATAATATTTATTAACATGCATCATTTAACAGTTTAAATATTTAGAAAAAATAATAAGTTTAAAATGTATAGAAAAAATAAAATAAATAGTAATCACGTAACTCCGTTGTGTACTATAGTCATCTTTGTATAAAATAATATATTTAATCCTGAATATTTTGTTATATTACAGTTAGCTCTGAAGCATCGTCAAGGAAAAAATCATAAAATGCGTATTATTGCATTTATTGGCAGTCCAGTGGGTTTAGATGAAAAAGAAATTATTAAGTTAGCTAAAAGGCTCAAGAAAGAAAAAGTTAATGTGGATGTTGTTTCTTTTGGCGAAGAAGTAAAAATAAAACTGAATTAACCTATACAATTTTTTACAGTTTAGTATTAAAAGTATTATTCATTTTTTAGGCTGAAAATTCTGATGTATTAACTGCTTTTGTTAATACATTAAATGGTAAAGATGGTGGTGGCAGCCATCTTATTGCTGTACCACCTGGCTCACATTTTTCTGAAGCATTAGTATCGTCACCAGTTATTCAAGGCGAAGATGGTGCTGGTGGAGCTGGTCTTGGTGGAACAGGATATGAATTTGGAGTTGATCCTAATGAAGATCCTGAATTAGCTTTAGTTAGTTTTTAAA